TTGATGCAAAAGACATCATGGTGTTTGTGAGGAGGTAGAAGCAGTGTGAAGGTCCTGAAGCATAAGTTCTGAGTCAAGAAGTAGCAAAAGACTGGCAGATAAGGGCCAGGACAAGGGTAGACCATATTTTCTGTAAATGAACATGGACTTTATCATGACATGAGGGTCCATGGAAAAGTTTTTAACAGTTGTGTGATCATAATCATCATGTTGTCCATAAGTTGCTCTGGATACTTTGTGGAAGTTAAATTCAAGAAACATGGGTAGAGACAGGAACACCAAAGCTTGACTGTTGCTGTTATCCAAGTTATATGGCCTAAATCTAGAGCATAGGATAGAGACAAAGGGATGGAGTAGGGAAAACCTTAAGTTAAAAGTACAGATTTTGGCGTTTAATAGATGTCCCTTTGAAGTCAGGAAATCAGAACAGCTGTTCTACTACCAATGGCAGTAGAAAGATTACGTTGGTAGTTAATAAATCTGTTTTGGAAATCCAAGCCATATTTTCATGCCTTTTTTTTTTTTTTCCATTTTTTTGAGACAGGGTCTCCTGTTGGCTCACTGCAGTCTTGACGGGGCTCCAGCAATCCTCCCATCTCAGCACCCCTGAATAGCTGAGACTACAGGTGTGTGCCACCATGCCTGCCTAATTTTTAACTTTTTTTGTAGAGACAAGGTCTCCCTGTGTTGTCACGGCTGGTCTTGAACTCCTTGACTCAAGTGATTCTCTCACCTCAGCCTCCTAAATTACTGGGATTATAGGCATGAGCCAACAAACCCAGCCCATTTTTTCATGTTTCAGCAAACACTGGACACTTGCTATGTACCAGTTATTGTGCTTGAGGCTGAGACTGCAAAGCTGTGATATAACTGTCAGAGTTAAGGCATTTTTAGTAATTTTTTTTCTTCTGTAAAATTGTTTTCCACAGGATTTGTGAAGATTGGCAGAATTTAAAATGGAAAGCACTGGAATCCTGCAGGACATTATACTAGTGTTTTTATTCTTTATCATGTTGTATGTAGGTATGCGGTGTATTTTCAGGATTAATAGAGTAGTTAAGAATACAGGTAGAGCCTGGTGAAGTGGCTCATGTCTGTAATCCCAGCACTTTGGGAAGCCAAGGTGGGAAGATCACTTGAGCCCAGGAGTTCAAGACCAGTCTGGGCAACGTAGGGGGAGACCCTTTCTCTACAAAAAAATAAAAAATAATAAAAATGACCCAGACATGGTGTCATGCGCCTGTTTCTCAGCTACTCTGGGAGCCGAGGTGGGAGGATCACTTGAGCCTGGGAAGTAGGCTCAGTTGCACCACTGGTCTCCAGCCTTGGAGTGAGCTGTAATTGCACCACTGCACTCCAGCCTTGGTGGCAGATGAAAGAGAGAGACCCTGTCTCTAAAAAAAAAAAAAGAGAATGTAGAACTAGTTTGAATTTCAAGTCTACCATTTATTAACTGTGCGGCCTTGGTTATTTAACCCATCTCTTTGTTTCCATATCTATAAAACAGATGTTAATAGCACATCAACATAGGGTTGTTATGAGGCTTTAATGAGTTAATATATATGAAGTATTTAGGATAGTGCCTGAAGCATAGTAAGTGTTGTTTAAGTATGTGCTCAGATAGAAAGTAGGTAGGGAGTTAATGTCATCAGCTTATTTCACTCACAATAGGTTTCTAAGTGAAAGTCCACTTGAGATGGATTTGGTCAATCAGTATGCACATGTGTTTATTCTTTGCCTGGTGATAGAGGAATTTAAAAGTAGTAAAATCCTAGTTTCTGCTCTCAAATGACTTACTGAGAGGATGAGATGATACTATTTATTCATTTAATAAATAATAATGGAAGTCTATAATAAACAGTAAGAAGATACAAATGAGGGTTACTTATCTTCATAGTCTTGGCTCTATCATTAATTCCAAAATTCAAAACACTTTGAAAACTGAGCTTAGTTTTCATTAGGTTGTTACTAAAACTCATTTGGTAGTAACACCTGACCTGAAGTAACCTGAGGATATTTATAAACTTAATATGCTTACCTACATAGTGTGCCTATTCGTAAGTTTGCTGCGGAATATTGGTGTATTTGATTACAAGGTATTTGGTTTCCCTGCTGGAGATACTACATAATGTATTATGGTAGATGTACAATATATGAAAAATCTTGGCCAGGCACGATGGCTCATGCCTGTAATCCTAGCACTTTGGGAGGCTGAGGTGGGTGGATCACCTGAGGTTGGGAGTTCAAGACCAGCCTGACCAACATGGAGAAACCCCGTCTCTACTAAAAATACAAAATTAGCTGGGGTGGTGGTGCATGCCTGTAATCCCAGCTACTCGGGAGGCTTAGGTTGGAGAATCGCTTGAACCCAGGAGGTGGAGGTTGCGGTGAGCCGAGATGGCGCCATTGCACTCCAGCATGGGCAACAAGAGCGAAACTCTGTCTAAAAAAAAAAAAAAAAAGATGAGGGAGGGAGGGAGGGAAGAGAGAGAGAGAGAAAGAAAGAAAATGACAGAAAAGAAATATCTCCCAAATTCTGAATTCCAAATATTTCTTTTTGGATTCAAACTTTTTGGATAAACAAATCATTGGTTGGTACTGTACATTATATCACACTATATAGAAAATATAGATAAGCAAAAATAATAAAACTTGCCTGTAAAATTAGAATCAGGCCAGGTGCAGTGGCTCATACCTGTAATCCTAGCACTTTGGGAGGCCAAGGTGAGAGGATTACTTGAGCTCAGGGGTTTGAGCTGGGAAACATAATGAGACCTGGGAAACATAATGAGACCTCATCTCTACAAAATTTTTTTTAAAAATTAGCTGAGCTTAGTGACACATGCCTGTGTCCCAGCTACTTGGGAGGCTGAGACAGGAGGATTACTTGAACCCAGAGATGAAGGCTGCAGTGACCTGAGATCTCACCCCTGCACTCTACCCTTGGTGACAGCAAGACCCTGTCTCAAAAATAAAATAAAAATTAAAGTCCCTATGAGATATGTAATGCCTACTAGACTGGCTAAAGTGAGAAATATTGAGAACACCAAATGTTGGAGAAGAACTTTCATACTTCAATAGTAAGAGTGTAAAATAATAGAAATACTTTGGATAATGGTTTGGTACTTTCTTATGAAGTTAAACATACACTTACGACACTAACCAGCCTTATTACTCGTAAGTATTTTACTTAGAAGAAACAAAAACACATGTTCTCAAAAATTCCCTTTTTTTTTTCTTTTTTGAGACATGATCTCAGTCTGTCACCCAGGCTGGAGTGCAGTGGCGTGATCTTGGTTCACTGCATCCTCCTTCTCCCGGACTCAAGTGATTCTCCTACCTCAGCCTCCCAAGTAACTGGGACCATAGGCACCTGCCATCACACCTGGCTAATTTTTGTATTTTTTATAGAGGCGGGGTTTTGCTATGTTGCCAAGGCTGGTCTCAAACTCCTGAGCTCAAGCAATCTGCCCTCCTCAGCCTCCCAAAATGTTGGGATTACAGGTGTGAGCCACTACGCCTGGCCCACAAAAATTCTTACACGGTAATAATGTTCATAGCATCTTTATTCATAATAGCCAGAAACTGGAAACAGGCAAGATATCCATTAACAGATAAAAGAACTATGGTATGCAATGGAATACAACTCAGCAATAAATAGGAATTACCTATTGACACATGTAACAATATTGATGAAACTCAAAAGAATCCAAACACAAGTATATATATACTGTATGATTTCATTTACATGAAATTCTAGAATATGCAAACGTAACCTCTGGTGATAGAAATCAGATCAGTGATTGTTTCTGGGTCGGGGCTGGGCCTTGACTGGGAAGGAGCATGAGAAAACATCCTTGGGTACTGGAAGTGTAAGTGGGGATAGGAGTGTGGTCATATAAGTATATGTATTTTTCAAAAATAGTACATTTAAGAATTCGTAAATTATAAAGCAATTTTTAAAAACCTCGAAATCTTACTACTTGGAGATAATCATATTTCAGCTTATATCAGCACTTTTAAAAAATGCATTTTTATAACATTTTTATAAATGAATCACAGTGTAAATGCTATTCAGTAATCTGATTTGTTTTATTCAAGTATATTGTAAACATGTCCTCATGACACAAATTTTTTTTTTTTTGAAATGGAGTCTTGTTCTGTCACCCAGGCTAGAGGGCAGTGGTGTTATGATCTTGGCTCACTGCAACCTCCACCTCCTGGGTTCAAGCGACTCTTCTGCCTCATCCTCCCAAGTAGGAGCGTGCCTGGCTAAGTTTTGTATTTTTAGTAAAGACGGGGTTTCACCATATTGGCCAGGCTGGTTTCAAACTCCTGACCTTGTGATCTGTTCCCCTCGGCCTCCCAAAGTGCTGGGATTACAGGCGTGAGCCACCACGCCTGGCCTCAAAATCTTATATAATTATGGCTTTGTGGTTTTCTTTTAAAACAAGAGTCCCCTTCAAACTATTTGCTGGAAACCTAAGTGTAAAACAGATGAAAGCTGAGCTGCTCCAACTGAATGAGATGAAAGAAGAATGGTTGAATTATATGACCTATAAGATTCACTCTAGGTCTAAGAATACTTCTCTGTGTAGGAGAGTTGCAAGTGTCCCCTATACTCTGCTCCTTTACGTGTAATCTTTTTTCCATGATCCTGCTAATTGGGAAAATAATAACATTTATTTGGAGCATGTACTGTGGTCCAGGCTTTGTTCTAAGTGCTTTATGTGAATTAATTAATTTAATCTTCATATCAGCCTCACAAGGTAGCCTTTTATTCTCATTTACAAATGGGATAATGCAGTGGAATGAGATTGAATGATTTGCCCAAAGTCAGACAGTATGTAAATGATGGACCCCAGATTTGAACTCAGTCCATTTAGCTCCAGGGTTTACCACTGTACTCCAGCTACCTTTCCAAATAAATGGAATCATTTTGCTTTGTACGTATGAAAAGATAGCTTTCTGTGGTAATTTTGCCTTTTATATTTGTCTAGAGCTAGCCAACATGGAAGAAGATGCCAGATCAGCTGGAGTTGCTACCTTTGTTCTCCAAGAAGAATTTGACAGATATTCTGGCTATTGGTGGTGTCCGAAAGCTGAAACAAGTAAGGGGGTTCAAATAATGTATTATGGATCATTTTAAAGTATTATAAGATTCAACTGTCAGTTAAGTGCAGATTCTAAATCTTGGTTAATAGATTTGAAAGTGATGATGATTGATTCATGCCAGTAGTTACTTAAAATATATAGTTTAGGCCAGGCGCAGTGGCTAACACCTGTAATCCCAGCACTTTGGGAGACTGAGGCAGTCGGATCACCTGAGGTCAGGAGTTCGAGACCAGCCTGGCTAACATGGTGAAACCCCATTTCTAATAAAAATACAAAAAATTAGCGGGACGTGGTGGCACGCACTTGTAATCCCAGCTACGCGGGAGGCTGAAGCAGAGAATCGCTTGAACCCAGGAGACGGAAGTTGCAGTGAGCTGAGATCGTACTATTGCACTCCATCTTGGGCACTGAGAGCGAAACTCTGTCTCAAAAATCTGTAGATTATGACCAGGCGCAGTGGCTCAACGCCTGTAATCCCAGCACTTTGGGAGGCCGAGGCGGGTGGATCACGAGGTCAGGAGATCGAGACCATCCTGGCTAACACAGTGAAACCCCGTCTCTACTAAAAATTTAAAAAAAAAAAATTAGCCGAGTGTGGTGGCGGGTGCCTGTAGTCCCAGCTACAGGGAGGTTGAGACAGGAGAATGATGTGAACCTGGGAGGCGGAGCTTGCAGTGAGCCGAGATCGTGCCTCTGCACTCCAGCCTGGGCGACACAGTGAGACTCCGTCTCAAAAAAAAAAAAAAAAAAAATGTAGATTATATTTCATCATAATGAAGTCTAGTAAAAACAATTGTATTGTGGTTTAATGCCTCTGGCCCCTCAATTCTCTTTGCCAGTTTTTCTCCTAAAGGCTGGTCTTGGTAATGCTGGCAGCATTGGTGGCAAAATAAAAAATACCACACCTTGGCCAGGTGCAGTGACTCACACGTGTAATCCCAGCACTTTGGGAGGCTGAGGCGGGCGGATCATGAGGTCAGGAGATCGAGACTATCCTGGCCAACATGGTGAAACTCCATCTCTACTAAAATACAAAGAATTAGCTGGGTGTGGCGGTGCACACCTGTAGTCCCAGCTACTTGGGAGGCTGAGGCAGAAGAATCAATTGAACCTGGGAGGTGGAGATTGCAGTGAGCCAAGATCGTGCCACTGCGTTCCAGCCTGGCAACAGAGCGAGACTCAGTCTGAAAAACAAACAAACAAAAAAACACACCTTAATGTGTTGCTATAAAAATTTGACTAGAGAGTCTGTTAAACAGATGATCAAATCAGTGTATGAATGGATAGGATAAAAGGGAACAAATTCCTCCCTTTCTTGGGGCAAATTCACAAATACCTCACTCTCTGAGAAACAGCTCACTAAAGCTTGGCTTTCAAACTTTTTGACCATGATCCAGTTAGAAGTGTACTTGTATTGTGGCCTAATACATATACTGTATAGATAAAACTGAAAACAAATTTCAAGAAGCAATACTTACTCTTTTTTTTTTGAGACATAGTCTCTCTCTTGTCGCCCAGGCTGGAGTGCAGTGGCGCAATCTCAGCTCACTACAAGCTCCGCCTCCCGGTTTAAGCCATTCTCCTGCCTCTCAGCCTCCCAAGTAGCTGGGACTACAGGCGCCCGCCACTGCGCCCGGCTAATTTTTTGCATTTTTAGTAGAGACGGGGTTTCACCGTGTTAGCCAGGATGGTCTCAATCTTCTGACCTCATGATCCACCCACCTCGGCCTCCCAAAGTGCTGAGATTACAGGCGTGAGCCACTGCCCCCGGCCGCAATACTTATTCTTATGTGTAATACTCCCTGATACTGTTATGTTGGGTTTTTTTGTTTTTGGGTTTTTTGTTTTGGTTTTTTTTGAGGCGGGGTCTCTGTTGCCCAGGCTGGAGTGCAGTGGTGCAATCTCAGCTCACTGCAAACTCTGCCTCCCGGGCTCAAGCAATCCTCTCACCTCAGCCTCCCAAGTACCTGGGACTACAGGCGCAAGCCACTACACACAGCTAATTTTTGTATTTTTTTGTAGAGATGAAGTATTACCATGTTGCCCAGGGTGTGGTTTGTGTGTTATATTTTTAAAAATACTGATTGTGACCCATTAATAGATTTCATGACCTACTCATGGTTTGGAGCTAGCAGTCTGAATGCATCTCTAAGAGACCCTGAAAAATACTTGTAAGCCATGTCTTGGATTTGGACATTTTATTTTAAGATGTGAAATGTTTTGTTGTATTTGTTAGAACACGATTTTGACATGAATAGAGAAACTATTCAAAATAACTGAACTGTATTTAGTATTTATGTTTTTAATGGGAAATATTATAAATGTAATTAAATATTTCATTTTTCAACAAAGAATGCATTTTATGGTATGTAAGAATGAAGTCCTTCAAAAATGTTTTTCCCTGTTTTAAAAATATGTATACATATCATCTCCAGTTGTTTTCCCTCCAAAAGAAGTGGCTTAACAATAACTCACCTTGCTGCTACAAAGACTAGTGATATTTTCCTACAAAACAGGTAGCGTATTTTATACATAAGTTATTCTTCACTATAAGAAATCTGATACTAGAAGGAACGGTTGGTTATGACTACTTTCTGGAATAATTATTCTAAATTTTCAATATCTAAATTTCTTTTAAGCTCCCAGTGGTGGTAAAATTCTTAGAATTCTATATGAAGAAAATGATGAATCTGAGGTGGAAATTATTCATGTTACATCCCCTATGCTGGAAACAAGGAGGGCAGATTCATTCCGTTATCCTAAAACAGGTACTGTACTCCATTGGCATTTATATTCACTCATTTCCTCTTTCCAAATAAGATTCTGTAGTCATCCAAAGGTGTAGTCAATGACATTGGTCATTTCCAGCCTTATTTATGATGGGTTGTTCACTGGGTATCACAAAAATAGATTTTGAATTAAAGAGTGATCGTTTTTTATTCTTTTCAAAGGTAGGGATGTCCACATAATTGATTTCCTCAAGGAATGAATTAGAGGGTATCTTTGCACCAGGCGTGGTAGCTCATGTCTGTAATCCCAGCACTTTGGGAGGCTGAGGCGGGTGGATCACTTGAGGTCAGGAGTTTGAGACCAGCCTGACCAACATGGTGAAACTCCATCTTTACTAAAAATGCAGAATTAGCCAGGCGTTTTGGTGCATGCCTGTAATCCCAGCTAATTGGGAGGCTGACGCAGAATAATTGCTTGAACCCAGGAGGCAGAGGTTGTAGTGAGCCGAGATCACACCATTGCCTTCCTGGGCAACAAGAGTAAAAGTCTGTCTCAAAAAAAAAAAAGAAAAAGGAGAAGGTGTCTTTGCTAGCAAATACAGATTTTTAAGTGATACTGTTCATAGTAAGTGATTTTTTTTTCCCATTTTGCTTCTTATAGCATTTCAATTGTGAAAATAATACATATTTTCACTTTATTTCATTCGGACTCTTTTCAGCCTGGTTTTTTTTTTTTTTTTATTCTTTTACAATTTTATTTCAATAGTTTTTGGGGAACAGGTGGTTTTCGGTTACATGGATAAGTTCTTTAGTGGTGATTTCTGAGATTTTGGTGCACCCATCACCCAAGCAATGTACACAGTACCCAATGTGTAGTCTTTTATTCCTCACCCCCCTCCCACCCTTCCTCTGGAGCCCCCAGAGTCCTTTATATCATTCTTATGCCTTTGTGTCCTCATAGCTTAGCTCCCACTTATCAGTGAGAGCAATGATACTTGGTTTTCCATTCTTGAGTTACTTCACTTAGAATAATGGTCTCCAGCTCCATCCAGGTTGCTGTGAATGCCATTATTTTGTTCCTTTTTGTGGTTGAGTAGTATTCCATGTTGTTGTATATATACTACATTTTTTAAATCCACTTGTTGGTTGATGGGCAAGCCCCTTATTTTTATTTTACTTTTTTAAGACAGTGTCTTGCTCTGTCATCCAGGCTGGAGTGCAGTGGCGTGATCTTGGCTCACTGAAGCCTCTGCCTCCAGGGTTCAAATGATTGTCCTCCCTCAGCCTCCTGAGTAGCTGGGATTACAGGTGCCTACCACCAAGCCCGGATGATTTTTGTATTTTTAGTAGAGATGGTGTTTCACCACTCCTGACCTGAAGGGATCACCTCGGCCTCCCAAAGTGCTGGGATTACAGGTATGAGCCGCCGCACCTGGCCAAACCCCTTTTTTTTTTGATATTCAAAAAGTATGAATTTGAGATGGGGCTCTGAGATTCTTGTGCAGTAAAGCTCTGACCATCTACATTATTCTTTTTCATTTTTTTCTTGAGACAGTCTCTCTCTGTTGCCAAGGCTGGAATGCAGTGGTGTGATCTTGGCTCACTATACCTCCATCTCCTGAGCTCAGGCCATTTTCCCACCTTAGCCTCCTGAGTAGCTCGACCAGCATGGTGCAGTGTGTACCACTGCACCCGGCCAGTTTTTGTTTTTTTGTTTTTTGCTTTTTTGTTTTTGTTTTTGTTTTT